AGATTCACAAAGAGTGGACTGCAGCTGGAGTGAGTGCTTCAAGAACCACCACACACAGACGTATGAAAGACATGGGTTTCTGCTGTCGCATTCCTTGTGTCAAGCCACTCTTGAACCACAGACAGCGTCAGAAGCGTCTTGCCTGGGCTAAAGAGAAACAGGACTGGACTGCTGGTGAGTGGTCCAAAGTCATGTTCTCTGATGAAAGTAAATTTTGCATTTCCTTTGGAAATCAAGGTCCCAGAGTCTGGAGGAAAAGAAGAGAGGCACTTCATCCACGTTGCTTGAAGTCCAGTGTAAAGTTTCCACAGTCAGTGATGGTTTGGGGTGCCATGTCATCTGCTGGTGTTGGTCCATTGTGTTTTCTGAGGTCCAGGGTCAACGCAGCCACATACCAGGAAGTTTTAGAGCACTTCATGCTTCCTGCAGCTGACCAACTTTTTGGAGATGCAGATTTCATTTTCCAACAGGACTTGGCACCTGCACACAGTGCCAAAGCTACCAGTACCTGGTTGAAGGACCATGGTATCCCTGTTCTTAATTGGCCAGCAAACTCTCCTGACCTTAACCCCATAGAAAATCTATGGGGTATTGTGAAGAAGAAGATGCAATACACCAGACCCAACAATTCAGAAGAGCTAAAAGCCACTATTAGAGCAACCTGGGCTATCATAACACCTGAGCAGTGCCACAGACTGATCGACTCCATGCCACGCCGCATTGCTGCAGTAATACAGGCCAAAGGAGGCCCAACTAAATACTGAGTGCTGTACATGCTCATACTTTTCATGTTCATACTTTTCAGTTGGCCAACATTTCTATAAATCCTTTGTTTTTATTGGTCTTCAGTAATATTCTAATTTTCTGATATGATGAATTTGAGATTTTCATTTGTTGTCATTTGTAATCATCAAAATTAAACAAAATAAACATCTGAAATATATGAGTTTGTATGTAATGTATGAATATAATATACAAGTTTCACTTTTTAAATGGAATTACTGAAATCAATCTACTTTTTCATGATATTCTAATTTTATGACCAGCACCTGTATTTGCTAAAGCACACTGCAAAGATCTGATTTCACTTTCCAAGGTTATAATTTCTGTGGTTTTTATGACACGCCCTACTCCAAAGAAACCCCTTTCCCTTGCATCCTGTAAAATACAGATTATATGGTATAAAATAATGACAATATTGTTTTTTGTCCCTTTAGTAAGATGTAAATTGATAGAGGAGCCACAGAAACCTCACAGCTTCTCTCGTATCAAGAGAATTTCTAAGTGATAAATTATCTTTCCATTGCAGACACTTTTGCCATGACTGAAGTTTTGCAGAATTGTTGTTTTGCAGAGAGTGAGCAAACCTATTTGGTCTAAGTACTGTAACATAGCAGGTTCAAGGTTTCCGTTTAAGCCACATGTTCATATATGGTCATGGGACAGTCTTATTTCGTTGTGAAGCATCTAAAACTATTTGCACTATTTGGAGACGAAACTTAGGGTCTCCCTGGAATTCCATGCCCAAATGTTTACAACTGTATATACTAGTAGAGGACATAGAAACCTCTTCAGTACTCAATTTTCTGGAGTCCATTCACAGAAAACAGACACTGTCCTGCTGTTTTTCTTCTGCTGATCATGTCCTTCAGCCTCTTGTCAAGAGGGGATAATTAGCCTCTACTAACCTGAAAGAGCCCTTCCTGACAGGCCATCATTCATTTACCCATCTCTTGCAGAGTCCATCTGGCTGCCTGTGTGGGGGTTTGTACTTATACTTGCTGCAAAGTGAGGACATTTTTGGTGCATTTCACCAGCAAAGCAAGGACTTTGATTAAAAATGACAACCTTTTAATAGTCCTACATTTTTTGGGTTAGGTTTAGGACTAACATTGTTAAAACAGTTAAAACCTGCTGACGAAAAGTATTTAATTGTATTTTCTAGTACTTTCAGTTTTTACCACAAACCTTAAAATTCTTTATATTACTTCCAGTTGCTACAAATGGCAGCTGTAAATACGCCACAGGCTGGCTGCAGCTGAGAGCTCCCAGCAAGGATTTCCAGTGCTGCCTCCTGGTGGTGTGCTGGAGTTCTGGCACTCCGAACAATAATTGCATATTTTAGAAGGATCATAATCCTGATGAACAATGTTTAGAGGTGGAATTTCCCCCTCTAAAAATATGTTAAAAGTATTTTTCCAACTCATCAAATTAAATAAAGCCAAGCTGCTATCTAGCTTGAAGCTACAGAACGGAGCAGATAAGTGCCAAAGCGTCAAAGCTTAACTTAAGTTAACCACAGTTTGATCCAGTGTCTGACCCAGCATCCGCATTTCTGCATTTGCACATATTTGATGCCCACAACGCCTTTGGTGTGAACACAGTTTTAGGTTAAGGTTAGGCTGATTATACTGTAGAAAGGGTACAAAATAAATGAAAGTCAGTGTATGCAAATTCCTCACTTTATGTTTAAAACACGGATGTGTGTGGGGGTGTGTATACTTGCATGTGTTTGCAGATGATTGAAGGGTTTCCTGCCAGAAGTTGCTTAAAGGAATAGTACACCCAAAACATGATTAGCCTTCATTTTCTACTCACCTCCATGCTGAACAACACTCTGGAGTACTTTTTTGATATCTCAAATGCATCTGGAGATCTGGGAGACTTCTTGCTGTCTGCTGACATTCAAATAATGGAGGTCTATGGCGCCCGAGACAGAAAGGTCCACAAAAGTCCACAAAAACTTGTCAATATTCCTCCATACTGCTCGTCCAATGTAATCCAAGTGTCCTGAGTGGGTAGCATCCAGAATTTACTCGAAACGAAGTCATTTAGAACGTTTTAGAGCCTAAACAGTAGTGTATAGGATTTCCTAATAGCGCCCCCATGCGCGCTCACGATTCTACGGAAGCCGGCAGACCAAACCAGCGCATTCAGCTCGGCAAAGAACTCTTCCTCAACACTGAAGTCCTCAGACATTTTTCTTTCGTTGTTTCTTTCTTTGCACAGGTAAACAGCACATTTCTTCTTCTACGCTTGCATTATCGGCAGACCAGACGCTGAATGCGCACTTCCTTCCGGTTTGGTCTGCCGGCTTCCGTAGAATCGTGAGCGCGCATGGGGGCGCTATTAGGAAATCCTATACACTACTGTTTATGCTCTAAAAACATTCTAAATGACTTCGTTTCGAGTAAATTCTGGATGCTACCCACTCAGGACACTTGGATTACATTGGACGAGCAGTATGGAGGAATATTGACACGTTTTTGTGGACTTTTATGGACCTTTCTGTCTCGGGCGCCATGGACCTCCATTATTTGAATGTCAGCAGACAGCAAGAAGCCTCCCAGATCTCCAGATGCATTTGAGATATCAAAAAAGTACTCCAGAGTGTTGTTCAGCATGGAGGTGAGTAGAAAATGAAGGCTAATCATGTTTTGGGTGTACTATTCCTTTAAGGAGCAACAGATGCCAATGTGGCTCGTTATACAGTATATTCCTCATGGCTGGCAAAGCTTCAATATTATCAGGTGTTAAGTTGTTACACTAACTCTAGCCAGTGTCACAATTCAAGTCTTTCCTTCTAAGGGATGCGACATATTTGGGATTCTGTCAGCAGTATACACAAAGTGTGTAGGATTAACTGCCATATAGTGTCAAAGAGAAAATGTGAAGAAAGGGAAAGCACCATTCTGCAGACTTTGCAATGACTTGTGAAAGCAGTAATGTTTCCTTCATCCTTAAACAGAAATGTGTCCATGAAGGTCTCTTACCAGGATTTACAAGTATGTGTTCATATGACTGCAAACACACTCAAGATGAGTCTAAGCTTCTAGCCACATGAGTGTTAATGCATACCATTTTTTTGTAATCTACAATTGTTTTTTAATAGGATTTCATTCCATTCATTTTGTCTGATTATTGTATTATCATGAAATGTATTTGTACATATGTACAAATACATCCTAGTATGTAATAGCAGACTTCCGTATGCCAAAAAAAAAAAAAAAGATGTCATAGATCTAAACAAATAAAAAGGTACCATAACCTGGTTAAAAATAAAGAAATCTAACATAGAATCAATCGAGTCACCTGATGAGGAATGTGAATATGTTGTGAGAAACTGAATATATTATCAATTCATGATGGCTGTCAAGGAAAACTAAAAGCCAACTTAAGTGAAAAGATGTTAAACATAGTAATATTTTTACAGAACATCTGTCCATTTTATTTGCTTGCACCTCATTCCCTGAGCGATTTAATCTTCCTTTTATTTAGACTTGTATTCTGCAGTCACCCTCTGAGATAATAATGCAATCTTGTCAGAATGTGATTAAAGCAATAGATCTGTAAAACTAAGAAGTATTCTAACAGATCAAGTGATTGGAAGAGCAAAATCTGGAACTTTTAGCTAAAGATTTTTAACAATTAGGTTGTATGCCATTCACTGGAGTCCCAAAGCTCATTACTGCTGGAACAAAGCATTTCTGTGAACCACATTTTCTCTGCTCTGCTCAGTTACACTGAAGGAGCAAATCAGCAACACAACAGTCTAAATTCAGGTTCATATTTTGATGATTGCTCATTCTCCATGGTGAAATAGAGATGCTAATGCTTGTCCCGTATATATCAGTCAATCAAATCTGTTTTTTGTTTCTATCTGTAAGCTTTCTCAACTGTAAATTCATACAAGTTAAACGTAAATAACCTGCTGAACCATCCCACTAGAATATCTAGATGCATTGTTTCTGTGTGCCTTCACATTTTCTTTCAGTGCCCACTTAAACTATTGACAGTTTTTTTGCTAAAACATAAATCCCTGTTTCCTTTATTTTGCCTCTGCAATGGACTTTTTCTGGAGGATTTTCCTTTATGTTTTATTCATGTAAAGCATTTATACAAATAACTTGTCTTTCTTTAGTCAAGACGGCTCTTTCATACCAGACTGATGTTTTTTTCAACGATGAAAATGACATGCATTTGTTTGTTTCTTCAATCAGGTTTCGGAAGAGCCTTCTCTTCTGATGTCCAGTCCCAGGCTGCTACTCCCAGTATCAGGCACTCTGCCTCCTGGGGCCCCATTATCTGTCCACCACCAGATACAGCTGCTACAGCAGCAGCTCCAGCAACAGCAGCAGCAGACTCAAGTGGCTGTAGCACAGGTATGGTTATTTTTTATTTTTGTTTTTCTAAAAAATGGAAGGACTATAATCAGAGATGCAAAAGTGGTAATCACAACCTTTGTTATGTAATCCCATGTTTATTCAACGTGTTTTATAAAGACCTAAAAAAATAGTCACAGAGAGACATCAGTGTTGGATGTTAACTTATCTGGACTGAATATGATAATAATATTAATCCTTAAGAGTAAAATGTGAGGGGGACATATTATGTTAGCAATTTTTGAATACTTGTGTAAACCTAGTTTAGTTCATATTGTATTTAGAAAAGTTTTTTTTTCATTATTTTGCTAATTAGAAATGTGTCAAGACTTGAAAGGGGATCTGAGAAGCGCTCAGCGGGTTACATTTTCAGTTTGAACATCTAAAGTTGAAATGAGGGCAAATAAACACAACTTTGATTGAAGTTGAATCAACTCACACAACACCCCCACAGCAGTAGAGTTTGTGTTCTGCATCTAGAAAACCTTAAAGCTCTCAAACTTTTGTGTCACACTTAAATACCCAATGCGCCATGGCTTCCAGATGCTGTGGCTTCTATACCAAAAGGCCTGATTTCCTTAAAATGTGAGTTTTATACCCAAATGTCTGTGAACAAACCTCTGCCACAGCTGACAGCTCATTGTAAGCAGGCCTACACATAAATTTTATTATTTATAAGAGAGGAGAAGCCAGAGGTTGCTGCTCACTGGCAGAGATACCTGTGTAAATTTTTTTAATGAGTCAGAACTTTGGCACATGAAATGAAGTGCTTCGCCTCACTTCGAAAGCTTTAAATTTGTGTGTTTAGTTTTTTTTGCTGAGGTGTGTGAGTCTGACCTCAGGTCTCTTATCATTTAGTAAATGGCCTTAAGTTTTCTGAGCAGCTCTGAAAAGTTTATGTCCCCATGCTATATAAAATATTTCATACTACAAAAATGTGAGACCTGTAAAGTCTGCCGTAGCTACTTCTGTATGCCATTAAACTTGTTTTTTTTATTTTCCTCAACAGATGAGTAGATAATTAAAAAACATTTAACATCAGAGTCCTAAAAGCAATCTGTTGCTTAGAATTCTAATCCATTGTTGAATCCCTTGATTTAGATAAACTTAAGCAACGTTATATTGTCTCATAAGGGACCAAACATGATATCTCAAATATTAATCCCTTTATTCTTATTTACTTGAAATAATTTATAATTATTCTTTATGAGAGTTAATACTAAATGCTTTAATCCTAAGTATGTTGCCGCTTTCCTCCTGTTAAAAGGTAATGTTACAGTACCTATATTAAAAAAAAACAGTGGTGTTATTGAAAAATAATATGTAAAATACATTTTTAAACATTGCTGCATATAAAGTAGTATTATATTAGGCTATAGTAACCACAATTATATCCATCCCTATTTACAAAACAATGAAAAAAATGTAATAATGTAGCATTTGGTTATTGCACAATCACTTACTTAACGGTGCATAGTCACATTATGTGGTCCATTATTTGAATCTATATGATTGTAGCCCAACATGTTTGCATATAATTTTTCTGAAAAGTTCTGCTATCATATTATTGGTTACCTTTCTGTTTTACTTTGTCTTTTTGGTCAATTTTTCAGTAAATAAAGCACTTTTTGTACATTTACAATACCACTGAATAACCAGAGCTTTGATACTGTGCAGGGGATGAACAAGGAAGCGTTATGACTAAGCTGGTTTGCCCCTACATAGTTATAAAAATGTTTTTTAAAAAGTGCCAAAAAATATTTCATTCCAAGAGGGATGAGACTCGGATTGCGCTTTGAATGTAAATGTTGGTTTTCACTGAAGCAGAACTAAAGCTGCAGAGAAATTCAGATGTCTCTGGAAGGTTAATGGATGCGAAAGTAATCCTCCATATTAATACTGATTCAAGTGAAGGCATGATGTGTCATGATGTGTCCCTATTCACGTTAGGTAGGAATAAGAATTTTCCTTACATTTCTTGATGTTCTATTTGGAAGATCTGGGATTGGCCTCTTTTGTGTGGCATGTAACATTATTGTTCCCCTTTAATGAGATACTCCATGATCTATCACCTAGCTGTAGCATTATAACCTTAAGATGGTCAGTTTTTTTAGAATATTTAAATTTTAAAACATACAATAAATATTAAATATTGTCTGCCCTAAGTTCTTTCAAGAAAATGCTACATTAAAGCAACAAAAATACTATTTAGCATTATCCATTATGTTAAGGATTGCATTGGTAACATTTTTTTTTTATGAAATGATCTGTAAATATTTGTTTATATTATTTATTAAATGTTAGTATGTTAGGATGGTTTAATCTGTAAATAACTATTTATAAAGGCTACATTTACAACATCCCATGATGGAGTAGTCTTTAAATGGTTATACAGGGGACCCTGGATTAAAATTCTGGTTGCATCAAGAAGTGCTTCTAATGTAAAAACTTATTGCCATGTCTGTGAGCAAATTGAAATGATTTACTGTGTCGACCCCTGAATATGGCAGTAGAAAAAAAGGAAAAAGCTAACAAAATGTTTAGAAGTACAATATGTTAAAAAATTAACCAAAATTCTAAATATTCAATAGAATCACATCAATCATGATATTCCTCACAATATCAGTTTTAAGGGTTGATTAAGGTAGGACTGGTGATTGAGATTCTGCCGTCTTCTGTGTCTGTCGTGTTTCTTTCCTGAGCCATGCTCAGCCCACCATGCAGCATTTTCACCCATCATCCCCGCTGATGCTGTTCAGCCAGGGATTCTCCTTTACTTACATCTGTATTTTTTAAGCTTTTTCTTCTGAGGATGTGGTGGAATACGGGGAATTATTTGGGTGACTGAGAGCAACAGGGGTGTACAATGTCTGTCACCAGGCAACCATGACAGCACACACTGAGCTGAGGAGGTCCAGCTTAAATCCCATGCATCAACACAAATTCTAACAAACTTTCATATTTCCTGTATTTAATTTGTTGTTGACCTGAGTATGGCAGACATTTGTGTTTCAGACATTTATGAATACAGTATATGACCATTTGCATCTCGTTTTGGGGTAAATGGAGGGAAACTCATCTTACACACTGGGCAATTGAAAGGTCATATATAAGGGTAATAAAAAAATATATTATTATATATACTCTTAAATATGTACAATGTACCATTAAGTAAGATCTTCCATACATCAGTCTTAAGTATTCTTTCTGAACTTCATATTTTTTCCTTTCAATTCGCCACTTGGTCCCTACTGCCAACAGTAGGCCTATATGGCTGTTTTCATTTGTTTCGTGTGATCCTGAAAAAAATACTTTTCAGTCACTACCAGCTTCATGAACATCTACTTTTTTATTTTCTCCTCAAAAAAAACAATAAGAATTAAAGCCACAAGTGGCATTGAGCGGCCCTCGCAGCTCGCACCGCCTGGTATGTTGCGACCGCGGGAACCAAGCGACCTCCACCTCCACGCTCCTTCCCAGCCTATGCTCCTGCTCTTCAGCCTATGCCTGCTGCTGCTTCTCTTCATCCTCCCCCTCCTTCTCGTTCTGCTGCTGCCACTGTTTCTTATCCTCCTCCTCCTGCAGCTTCTCATCTTCCTCATCCTCCTGCTAATGCAGCTTCTCCTCATCATCCTCCTGCTTCTGCTTATCTTGCTCCATCTCCTTCTCCTCATCCTGCTGTCGCTCTTGCTGCATCTCCTTCTCCTCATCCTGCTGCTGCTCTTTCTCTTCATCTCCTGCCTGCTGCTGCTTCTCCTGATCCTCTTCATCCTCCTTATCCTGCTTCATTTAATCCTCCTCCATTCTCCTTCTGCTGATTATCTTCCTAATCATCCTCCTCCCCCTGTGCTCCTTCTCTTCATATTCTTCTTCCTGCTGCTGCTCTCACTGCATCTCCTACTGCTGTTTGTTTGTCATCCTCATCATCCTTCTCCTCCTAGAAATGTGGCTTTGTATGACTGGAGTTAACAGTTTGATGCTTAGCCACGCCCACATGCTCCCATGTAGAATAATAATTTTGATAACTTTTAATTTGCTATGACTATAGTCCATGTAAAGTTAATTTGAAGTCTCAAACTCAAAAAAAACCAAGAGCCCTTCCCTCAGATATGTCATGACCTAAAAAAAGAAAATGGTATCTTTGATCCAAAATGGCCCATTTCTTGTTGGGTGTGGACCATGGCTCCAATATACTTTTTTGAGCATCGTGTTCGGCTATACAAATTTAATAATCCTTAATAAAAGCAGGGCCTGAGGCAGTTTAGTCATACTCTAATGGCGCAAAGTCTGATTTTGATGCTTGGCCACGCCCACATGGTTTGTCACAGCAAAAACTCTTTTGATTGCTTTTGACCCCTTATGTCTTAAATCGAGGCTCAGCAAGTTAGAAGTTTGCCGCCCCCTTGCTCCTTCTCAGCCAGCGGAAAAGGCGCCACGCTTCACCTCTGGACCAGCCGGAGAAAACCACAGCTTTGGTCAGGAAGGGTTAAACTAGGGATAAAATATAATATCTGGGATGAATCTCATCTGTGAGATAGATGCTGCGGCCATCTCAGGTGGTGGGTCAAAAGTATATGTTCAAAAGATGGAGAAACAGCACTGCCAAACTCCACGGTTAGCGGTAATACACCCTACTCAAAACAAAAAAAAATAATTAAAAATCCATAGTTTGCAATAAAATCCCGAAAAAAATCACAAATGTCAAGGAACACATCTTGCATGTCCTAGATTTTTTTTAGATGATTTATTAAATAATTTAAAGAAAGAAAAATCTTTAAACTTGAATGCCATATACTGCGGCAGTTGAAAACCCCATAAGATGCTCAAACATGCATAGATTCACGCCAATCTTGGCAGTCTTTTGTATAATCAAAGGATAAATAACTGTTCCACATTTGGCTAGGATTGCTATAAAACTTTTTGAGATACAACAATTTTCTGTTAACACAAACTTTTGAAAAATCAGACTGACAGACTTTAAAAAAGCGCTTTGCTATTGT